TGTCTGTGCCCGACTTCCTTTCCAGCACGGGTTAATCTGAGCTGAATTTATCCGCCATGCTCCGGCGTCCAGATAGAACTCTTGTGATCAGCTGAGAGTCCGGGGATCCGCAGAGGAACGGAAAGAAGTCGGTGTAAATTGACACGTTAACTTGAATGGTTACGATCAGCTACGATCGGAGGATACGACCTTTAAGGAGACGATCAGGATTTTGGGGGTAAAGCGGACCGGACTTCTGAAGTCCCTCTCACCTCATGAATGAAGTTCTCCACTTTGGTCTGCAGGCCCCACCACTTAAACTTGACTGTGACCAGTTTGTAGGCACACATCCTGGGGCAGTCGGGCTTCGACAGCAGATCTCTCTGTCAGGAGAAGAAGAAGAGCGAGGAGCGTCGACAGAAACAGAGAGGAACAGAGAGAGGATGATTTTAGACTCATTATTAAAACATAATGCTTTGGGTACAGAGCTCACTGAAATAATTATCAAAATGAAGATGTGCTGTGCTCAGATAAAAGCGCCCTAATCTACTACACACTCTCTAAACCCGCCGCCGCCCGCCCGCCAGCCCGCCGCATGCTCTCTGGCTCCTTGTGAAGAAGAGAGGAAAGGCGGAGGGGGGGGCGGGGGCGGAGCAAAGTGGATAAACTCCAGATGAAGGGAGCGTTTCTCTGCCTCCACCCTGACAGTGACACCGTTCCCGACAGGCACGCCTTTGTGGCCGAGGAAGGCAGATAAAACGGTGCTAGTGAAGCGATAAGGGCGCCGCGGAGCAAAGCTGGTTACATTATTAACACCTAGGACCTGTTCGCCCCCAGAACACACACACACACACACACACACACACACACACACCTGTTTAATTAATCACTTCTTTCTGGCTCCTCGGCATTCTGCGAGAAAATGCCACAGACCCGCCTCAATCACCCTCATCCCTCCGCCGTTTGATGCCACGATGGCGGAGGAGAGCGAGAGAGGGGAAATGAGAAACATTTCTAAATTTGCAGTGGGTTTAGAAAAGTTGTCATCGCTAAAGGAGAACTTCACATGAAACGGATTCGACATCAAAACACTTACGGTGACATTTCTTCTCTCCCTCTCTGTGCCCCACTCAAAGGAGCAGAAGTTTTCTGAAATACAAAGGGGAGCGATATGCAAGCATGTGTGCATGCAGAGATAGACAAGAGTTTTATGGCTCTGAGAAGCTGGCAGAAATGGTGCCTCTGTTGTCACTGAACTACTTTTCCTTTTTTTTCACCTTTTCAAAAACACTCTTTTTCCGTGTCCACAGCGGACGGGAAAGTGATCTAATTAAAAACACAAAATAGAAAGTTGTGCTTCTTTATTCAGACTTTTTAAAGCTGTTTGGCTGCCTTTGTTCGCTGGAAATCCTTGAAGCAGAGGAAAGTTTCCCGTGGTGAACTTTGAGGGCTCCGCAGCAGAATAAAAACCCGACACGGTGCACAGAGAGGACCTGCCTGTGAGGGGTGTACAGCGGAGAGAGAGAGAGAGAGAGCCACCAAACTCCTCTCAAAGTTCAGCTACATCTTTTTTTTCCCACTTTTAATCAAAACCACGTCTGTCTTTATCCATTACTGCTGCTTGTCAAATTTAGGATCAATGTCTCTCTCCCATTTCTTGTTTCATCCTCACAAATTAGAGCCTTTATCTGACCCGCTGACGAGAAATTTCTCTCACATCCAATTAGAGCTGAGAAAGAGGTGATTTGTCTTCATCAAACCGCAGCCGTACAGGTCTGCCGACCCCCCAGCAGCCGCCTCACGGCTCTCTGCGCTCCTGTAAAGACTTATTCTGGTCTTATCAGGATCCGGCTGTGAGGGGAGGACTTTGGACGGGATTATAAAGATCACCGCATTTCAGCGCCATTTCTGAGTCTGATCTGTATCCACACATCTATACCTGAAACATCTATACTTCAGATCACACCACGACAAGTTCAGGAGCGAGTGAGGGGGCGGGGTTTATCCAGACTGATCTGAGGTCAGCGCTGTGGCTGTGTGACTGTAGGACAATGATGTGTTTATGGATCTGAACCTGAACTTCATTATAACAGTAATGATCATAATGAGAATGATGATAATAACAATGATAATAATAACAATGATAATAATAGTAAAAACAATAATGATAATGATGATAATAATACTGATAATGATAAGAATAATGAGAATAATAATAATAATAATAATAATAATAGTAATGATTATAATAAAAATGATAAAAATGACAATGATAATAATAAGAATAGTAGAAACAATAATGATAATTATAATAAAAAATACTGATAATGATAACACATATAATAATAGTAATGATGATAATTATGATAAAAAACTGTGAAACTGATTATAAAGACAAGTGATAATAATAATAATAATAATAATGTCACAATATTACTATTTTTACTATTATTATTATTGTTATTATTATTATTATTTATCATTATCATCATTTTTCACAGTTGTATAGGGACCTACCTTCCAGGTGGGCCCCAGGGGTCCTCTGCCAGTTTTGACTGACTTGAATTTAGCGGGGTCCTCATCTGGTTTGTAGTCCTGAAATGAGAACAGCTGATATAAAAACAACACAGAGATCGAGCTGAAGCAACACACACACACACACAGACACACACAGACACACACACAGACACACACTTCAGTCTGCCACGGTATCATCCTTGAACCTTGTGCATGTTTGTGGATTAGCTGAGACTCTGTGTGTGTGTGTGTGTACATGAGTGTGTAATGTGTGTAACCAGGAACAGGAGTCATGGTTGGAGACCTGTCCTCTGTGGACTCCATGATGATGGTTCAAATAAAGGAGTAAATAAATCAGTGAGTGTAAAAACAGAACTACAGTAATAATGAGGCCGACCTTAAAAACGCCGTCCTGCAGAGTCTACAGAGGTCAGCCTCAGGGTCACTGACGGTTACTGTGCGTTTCCTACATGACCATTCACTCACTGTGCTGTTAACTAAACAGGCCCCACCCAAAGGCTGAGGGGAACCACGCTCATTCTCGAACCCTGCCGCCCCCTGGAGGACAGAGCGGGGCCTTCAGGGAGCATGTCTGAGGCCTGGTCAGGTGAGTGTGTGTGGAGACATCCAACTGCATGTTCATGTATGATAGCATGTGTTCACTCAGGTCCGAGTACATGTGTGTTTTTCCTCCTCATAACGAGAACAGCAGCAGCAGCAGTCAGGACAGGAGATAATCGAACCTGCTAAGTAAGCTCAGGCTCCCTGTGGAGCAGCAGATCCTCACCTGGAGTCAAACAAAATGATTTTAAAGCTTCGAGAAAATACCAAGTAACCCGTGAAATACCGAGAGCGCACGACAAACATGAAAACATCAGCATGAGAAACACAAATAAATGAAATGGCTTTCAAATTATCAACAGCTCAAGGGCCCAGCAATTCTAAATAAATCATGATACGCCTGCAGCTAAAAGCTCCTTTTCAGGGCTATCAGCCAACAGGAGGGAGCGCACGCACACACACACACACTCACACACACACACACAGCATCATTTGGCTGTTTTAATGCTGAGAGCTCCGTCACCATAACAATACACTGTGCTGCACTAATGAGGTCTGTGAATCGATACGCCGTGGTAGACGGGAAAAAAAGGACCAACTCTTCAAGTAAAGAGAGTGTGTAGGACTGTTGCTGTGTTTAGTGTGTTTGTGTGTGTGTGTGTGTGTGTGTCTAGTTCCGGCATACGGAGCACTGTGAGCCTTAATTACACTAACAAACTCATCTGTGCTGGAGGTACGCCCCAGGCCCTGCAGCCATGCCCGAGGCTGAGGGCTGATAGGGTCCTCAGACACAACACACTCCTCCAGCAAGGCAAACACCTCCGCCTCGTTAACCACCCACCGCAAACAAACACACACACACACACACACACACACACACACACAAGAACCAACACTTCTCAGCCAGATAGCCTCACACGTGCACACACACACACACAGACAGCGCTACAGTGAAATGAGGCAATGTGATGTCAAATAAGAGCAATAATGTGAAACATCTTCAGATAAGATTTCAGAGAGTGGATCTTTAAAAACTCTTTATTTGGATCATTATCGGAGGATTTAGGAGACGCTCAAAGTTAGTTTTTAATCACTGATCAGAGTTTGTGAGATCTAATGATCGATCAGTGATTAATAACCTACAGAGAGACCCGGACAGGTCCATGTTTGAGTTCAGGAGGATCAGACTCTAGTCCTCCTGGACCACAACAACACCCTCCTCTACGTCAGACCGACCACAGGAGACACAGGAGGGACTCTGACTCGCCGTGTCATGACCAGGGTTGGATATCGAGTCTCGAGCATCGACGAGGACTAAACATTCTGATTCTCCCAGAATCGTTCAAATTTTAAAATTTTTAGTTTCAATGCCGGAGTTCCCCGACCGGAAGAAATAGCCGCCAAACACCAACGAAGAAGAAGTGTATGAGACGAAGCCTCACAGCGAGAGAAGAGAGACAGAGAGCGAGAGCGTACGGTAACCCACAGTGACGGCGGCGGTCAAAAGTTTGTGAAAGTTTCTCAGGAAGAATGAACTCTTCTCTCAGAGCAACATTGGAAACACAGTTCTATCCTGTAACGGAGCGTGAAGGACCAACAAGATTAAACACTCAGGATTCATGGAGGAGAAACACCCGAGCGTTTTAGAGACTCATAAAGACAGAAGGAAAGTTTTCTGCTCCAGCTGACATGTTGTCATGATCTAATACTCGTGTTTTTTTATTATGAGTTCATTTTCTTCCACTTTAAGAAGCTCATGAGTGGAGAGGACACATTCTACGACACAACACCGGTCTTAATACTAAATAAATGACTTCTGTCCTCTGTTAACTTTGAAGAGTCAAAGAAACTGTACTGAGTACGGAGGGTCAACTTAAATATCACACTAACATTAGTCTTTGTACTTTTTCACCGACAAACGACCTGAAAACAAAAACTGAGATTTATAAACTGGTTAAAAATGTGAGAAATTCAGAGTAAAGTTCTTAAAATGTTCATATAATTTAAAAATTCATGTTCAGAAATTTCATCCAAAAAGAAGAAGAGCTCTGGATAACCTCCTCATTTAAACCATGTTTTTATTTATATCCTGACTTTTAAAAGAATCGAAACGAGGAACCGGAACCAGAATCGTTCAAAATCAAATGATACCCAACCCTCATCATGACCCAGATATCTAAATGATTCTGGTTTTGTTCACTCAGAACCAGACTGTTACTGAAGTGGGTCTGCTGTCATCACTACGGCACCACCAGAGGGACAAACTGGTTACATACGTGTTTACACTCCGAGTGAGACGGTGTGTTTCATAATTTCAGTCAAAACTGGAAAAATCTGGATCATGATCATCATGTTTCACAGGAGCTGTTTGTCCCTGAAGGCCACCGTAGCTTTGCTAACAGGGGGGAGTAAAGAGGTCCAGGATCTGACGTTTCCATTTCTACGTACTTTGAGGTGTTTGAAGATTCAAACTGTTGAAGGTTTTACAGATTTTTAAAGGTTTATAGATGATGTGTCTGTAGTTCTGGGTCTGTGGTCATGGACAGCTATGGTTCTACTCTGACCCGTTAATAAACCAACACCATGAAGACCTGCAGCTCTGCTGGACCACAGTCCTAAACACTCTGTTCTGATATTATCCACAAAGACTTTAAAAGAACTAAAAAGAAACTTCACTGATAATCTAAGAGGAGTGGACGTGATCAGATAATCATTAGAAATGTGTGCGGTGTCCACACGGGGGCGCCAAACTGTGAAAGTTAGTCTGAAGTTTCTACTCACAGCGTTGGACACTTGACTTCTGTCTGCGATGTCGATGGGAACCACGGACACACTCGGCCACGTGTAGCTGTCCAATTTATGAACCTGAACCAACAGAACCAGCATGAGAACTCCAGAACCTCAAACGGACCTCTTCCTCACTGAAATGAAGAGACTCACGTTTTCTGTGGTTCCCAGGTCGGGTTTGTGCCACGTCTCGATCTTAATGAAGAAATCGTCTTTCATGAACTCGTTCTAGAAAAAAGCAGAGAGACGGTCAGACGTTCAGGAGATACGTGTGTTTTTAAAAAGTCTGAATAATGACCGTTAAAGGGGACCTACCTCCACGACTGGGTCAGAGGGAAGCAGGAAGAGAAGACAGGAAGTTATTATTACATGGTTATTACATAGTTATTACATGGTTATTACATAGTTATTACATGTTATTACATGATTATTACATGGTTATTACATGGCACATTAGATCTGATGTTGTGTATGTGTCATTAGTTAGGCTCAGTAAGAGGACAACATACGATCCTCTGATATTCTCTCTACAGCCTACAGGAGTGATGTGCTGAGCTACAGGACCTCTTAGATTTCTCTGATTAAAGCTCCAATAATCAACATTTAATCATGTTTAATGACTGTTTTTATTTATTCTCTATTTTCTGTAAGTGTTGTTACAGTATTGTAGAATGTGAACTGGGTTTCATTGGTGCTGCCTCAGTTTTTTTTTATTTCCCACTGGGATTAACAAATTATCAATCTATCTATATTTTTCAATCCATATCTGTCTATCTATATCTACCTATCTATCTATCTATCTATATCTATATCTATATTTTTCAATCCATATCTGTCTATCTATCTATATCTACCTATCTATCTATTTGGACACTAAGGTCCTGAAGGGGGTCCGGTCTACTCACTGGTTTTGCAGTAGGGGTACGCGTTCCAGGCTCTTTCATGGAAAACCAGGGAGCCTTCAGGGGCGAACATCTTCACAAATGCTGGGACTTTACTGTACAGGGGGACGGGGGGACCAGGGGGGGACAGGGGGGACGAGGGGGACAGGGGGCATGGGTGAAGGGGGGTGATCACAGTGAACTGGTGTTTGAGAGGAGAGCTCACAACAAAGACAAGACAATGCTGCCACCTTGTGGTGGTTTGCTGCAGTTACACAATGACCAATCATCTGCTGGTTCTGAATGTAAACGGGACAAACGGGCCGGTACCTCTTCAGGTGGTAGATTTTGTGTGTGTACTGTCCTTTCTCTCCATCCTTCTCGTAGGGCTCGTTCTTCAGGACCTCGATGCCCTCACCTCCACCCGTCTCGTTCTTACTGGCTTCAGCCACCGAGAACAGCTGACCCACTTGGTACTGTCCAGAACAATGAAAGAGATCAGCTGACCCACTTGGTACTGTCCAGAACATTTAAAGACACTCAGATTTAGGAGGAAGAGGATAGAAGGATGACCAGAAACAAACATGTACAGAAAGAACTGAAGTGGGTCAGAAAACACCTGTAAGAGATTCACTAATTCACTAGGAGATTCACTAATCCCTTAAAAGGCGTCACCCCGCTGTAGTCTGTAATGGACTGGCCTGAGGTCTCTCTACAAACAAGCGTCTGCTGGAAGAGAGTAGGTGAGTTGTGTTTAGTCTCTTTGGTAAAGAAATGAGTCAAAGTTAAAAAGATGTTTGGTGTCTAGTACTATGTCTGTGACCATATATGTACTAACCTCAGTAGAACATGGTGTAGTTCTGTTCAGTAACAGAACCTCATTGGAAAATTAGCTGATTTAACTTTACTGTGCTCTTGTTCACATATATTAACTCAACAGCACATAAATCCATACCTGTTAACAACATCATGATTTTATTGATAATTCGGCTCAATAAAAACACCTTTACCTTTTCATTTTACTACAGTAGAAGTTTATTGGCCCAGCTTATAGACTACAGAGGTGGAGAAACGCCCCCACTTAAGTTTATGTTTTCTTAGGAGTTAGAACAACTCTGAATATAGTACTATGTCTGTGACCCTATATGTCCTGTTGATGAAGTTAGGTGCTGTTCTGAGCATTATTTGTGGCTATAGAGTGGCGTTTTGGTTGGGGGCGTGGCTCTCTGTATTTCTATCCTGCGGTCGTTACTAAAGTTGGTATAACTAGAGAAGTAAGCGGTCGACAACATTCATCTCTGGAGGGGGGGTCTAACTCGGTGTTACGGTGGGTTTGACCCTAAATTAGTTTAACGCAGGAATATCCCTTTAAAGGGTTAAATTTGAAGACATTTTTTACAGACTCACATGAACTGATTACAGAGCTGCAGGTAGAAAAGGAGGATAGAAGTCAGAACTTCAGTAAATCAGGCTGAGTCTGGTGTGAATATGATCTGATGGGGTTTTCTGAGGACGCCTGTCTGTCTCTGTCAGGACTCCTGAGTAGTCCTGTTTGGTCTGAGGTGCAGGAACTCCTGTGTCAGAGGCCAAAGTCAGTGATGTTTGAACAGTAACAGACGGACAGATGTTTGACTCCAGCTACAGAGCGCTCAACATCCTTTCTCCCAAACAGAGGACACTTATTTATAAACCTGCTTCAACAGGCAACAATAACTGCCAGGAGCTTTTCTCCCCTTATAAGGAGGCGCTGAGCGGAGGCTGGGTTTGATGATATAAGCCTCTGTACACAGGGAACAAATCCTGCTGCTGTAAAACATTCACAGGGATTACAGACGATCACTTCATCGTCATCCTCATGATGAAGAAATTTATCAGAGTCTGACTGATTCAATCAATCATGACAGGAGGAGAGGGTTTCAGAGAGACCAGGAGAGGGTTTCAGAGAGACCAGGAGAGGGTTTCAGAGAGACCGAAGTCCTCCTGAAGAGAGAGCTCACTTCTGTCTTCTGAGTGTGTGTGTGTGTGTGTGTGTGTGTGTGTGTGTGTGTGTGTGTGTGTGTGTGTGATTAGAGAACAAAGAGTGTTACTCACCTCCTCAACACTACAGGGTAAAACCACGCGGCTGTAAAAGACAGAGAAGTCGGTTACAAACAAACAAACACAGATCAAACTTTAAAGGACTAGTCCGTAAAAACACTCTGACTAAAGGACAGTGTTTCCGCTGTAGTCACTGTTTAACCTCTGACCTGTTGTAAGACATGATGTACCTGAACCACAGCTCTGCAGAGGAAGCAGCTGTCTGTTACCCAACATGCTTCACTGCGGTTTGAGAAATAACCTTCACAGAGGAACAGGAAGACCGCTGTCGAGTCTCTTCCTCTGCTGAAAACCACCCAGACAGGCTGAGGGTCCACCTGAAGGACCCTCCGTAGACCGGCTCCACTCAGAGAGCGTGCAGAAGAAACACCACCACATTTTTATTACATAAGCTTTCTTTGGAGATGTGTCTGCAAAGCATGCTGGGACCTCTTTGTTCATGTCTCGACAGCGCTCTTCTCCAGGGCGTGCTCCACCAGAGCAGTTGCATCATTCAGGCTGACGAACAGGAGACCACGAACCACCAACCAACCAACCGCCGGGTGTAAAAGAGGAAAAAGTGAGTGGAGGGCAGGAAGTCGTCTGTGAGCAGAGAAACATTAACCCTTCATCGACCACGACGACCTCACTCATTTCTGATGAGGCGTCGTCCTGCACATGCTCAGTCAGGAGCAGTTTCTAACCCTGACAGTCAGAAAGCCCCGCCCTGAAGTCACACCTGTCAGTCATCAGGTTCATGGATGCAGCAGAGAGGTCCGGTCGGATCGCTCCGACTCCGGAGTCCAGCTGAGGGACCAGATCTGAGGTCTTTAGATCCACTCAGAGGATCAGGGTCGTGTCTGAAGACGTGAAATGAAGAGGAGCATCTTCTCGCCGTTTTATAACCATGAGGAGATTTTCTACTTTAGTGCACGTGACCCCGACCTCTCAGTTTTAGAGCAGCTGATTCAGCGTGAAGAGGGCCACAGGGAAATCTAATGAATGTGGGCGGAGCCATATCTGACTCTGAGACAAACTGTCAGATCCTGCTCGGCGTCGCGTTTTCTTCATCCTGGTCCGGGTCGTTGGGGCAGCAGCTTCAGGAGGGAAGCCCAGACGGCCCTCACCCCGGCCACTCCCACCAGCTCCTCCTCCGGGGGGATTCCCAGGCGCTCCCAGGCCAGGCGGGAGATATAATCCCTCCACCAGGACCATGACCTCAGACTTGGAGGTTCTGATTCACATCCCAGCTGCTTCACACTCGTCCGCGAACCGCAGATCCTGCTGCTCATTAAAATCTAACAGACATGATCTCTTCACATGTTTCTAAGAACGAAGATAATTAACAAAGATAATAAAACAAACCCTGTTGTTCTACACAGACTTTAGATCAAACACAGATTTAGATCAAACACAGATTTAGATTAAACACAGATTAAGATTAAACACAGATTAAGATTAAACATGCTGTTCATGGAGGTGAAGAAGAAAACGGTCAGAGCTGGAGGTGATGGGCTGAGGTTAGGCCTGTTTTATAAGACCAGGATCCAGAAGGTTGAAGACGTTTATCTCAGGTGTGTAAGCTCAGGTGATCTGTTAATACAGGTGTCTAATAAACATGTATCTGTGCACAGCATCAGTGTGTACTTCAGTGTGTCCAAACTCTTGATGAACAGAACTGAACCTGAATGATTGGAGATGATTTCAGACATATTATCAACATAAACAGACATTTTTAAACTGTTTGGATTTACAGTCTAATAAACGTGTTTTTCTTCAGATTGATCAGAAACTAATTCATGTTATACAAAAACATATTAGGCTGCTCTGCAGATGGTAGAACATGATATTAATGTCAGAAAAGACTGTAAACTCCTTTATTCTACAAACAGAGAACAGAGTTTAACTCGAACCCTCGTCAGTAACTGTTAGATATGATCTACTGTCCTTAAATGGACCATCAGACAACAGCCGGTTCATGAGCCCAGATATCAGCTGCTGCTAATCAGTCTGATTAATCGACCACAGGATTATCAAACGATCTCAAGTTTTCTAAACAAAGAGTGGATTAAAAAATTAACACACGTCTGTGTATGTGGGCTCATTTTAAACTGATTTTAAACTTAAAACATGTCTTTGAAAATCAATGTCATGACTGATTTTATGACCCTACTCCTCACAGTAGGGTTCAGTTAATACTACAGGTAAACCAATTAAACAGGCAGCCAATTAAACAGTCGGCCAGTTGATGGCCCTCTTACCCCAGCAGCATCATATCAGCATTATTTCCCCTATCCCCGCTAACAGCAGATTAAATCTACAACAGTTACTCACAGGTGTTCAACACAAACTCTGCTATGATGGATCTAATAATAATAATAATAATAATAATAATAATAATAATGGCAGGTCTCTGACAGAAATCCAAACTCTCCATCTCTGTTTCCTTCAGTTTTCCCTCCAGTCCATGGGTGTGTTTAGTTAGTCTCAGTGTTAGTTTAGAGTCGTGTTTTTAACTGGTGCTGAACCAAATACAGTAATGAAGGTGATATCAGTAAAATGGATCAGCACCTTTAATAACAAACCCCTCTGAGACCACACTGACACCTCCTGAAGTTTCTGAGGACTAAAGTTAGACATGCATGTCTTTAAAACAGGGACAGGTTTTCAGCAGTGATCTGAGACTATTTTAGACTGAAAAATCATTTAAAAAAAGAGCTTTTTAAAACTGGACTGTAGGACTAAATCTGCAGACGGAGGCGTAAACTGAAAATTCTCAGTGTTAGCATGGTCAGAGTAAAAAGAAAAACCCAGGTCTGGAGTCTGGGAGACCTCCTATAGTGTTTCATGAGCAGGACGGTCCGAGTGTGTCGGGTCTGCTCAGGTCTCCTTAGACCAGTGGTTCTCACCTGGTGGGTCCCGACCCAAAAGTGGGTCGCAGACACGTTCTGGATGGTCGCAAACAGCTGGTCAAAAAAGTAAATATCTAATGTGCATCTGATGTTTGACATGTCTTTTATTTTGAAAAATATCTTATTTTGAAATGCATGCATTATGTCGTAGTCCTCTTCGGTTTCTTATTAATGTGTCCTGAATGCAGTAAAATTACATGTTTTTTTTAATGGTCTTTATTTTGTTTAATTAGATTTTTATTCACTTTTATCCTCATCAGGTTCTTCTGAGTTTGCTCTGAATGCAGAGATGCTTATAAGTAAAAAAAAATCATTTCACCGGTCTCTAGTTTGTGTAATTTGATATTTTCTGTACACGGAACTTCAGTGGTTGTCTCTTCAGTTCATGAGCTCTGAAATGCGCTTTACTCGATAAAATAGGTGTATATATGCTAAAGATTTGAGTGTTTAAAGGTTTTTTAATATAAGACATAAATGTTCTTGGTTTGAATTTTCTCACTGTGGGTCGTGACTTGAGGACCGTGGGTAAATGTGGGTCCCAGAGTGAGACCAGTTGAACCAGTACCTCAGCCCACCTTTCCTCCACCGTTAGCTTTAGCATCAGGAGCTCACACGGACTCACACTCTAACTTAAACAGAGCTTAAAAACACACACAGACACACACACGAGCTGAAACAGCCTCAGTTTAACTCCCCGGTCCGGACAAACCAGTAAAGACCCGGTTCGTGTGACAGATTCTGGACGTGGACGGACCGGGAGCCGTGCACTTCCAGCAGCTGTCACGGAGCTGTCAGAGCCGGTAGGCCGGAGCAGCTCCGGTGTTCTGCCGGAAAATGCACCCCTGCTTCCCCTCCACTCATGAGCTTCTTAAAGTGGAAGAAAATGAGCTCATATTTAACAAAAACACGAGTATTGGATCATGACAACATGTCAGCTGGAGCAGCAAACTTTGGTTCAGTTTTTATGTCTCTAAAATGTTCATACAGAAGTGAACTTTGGTGTATAAACAGTAAACTGTTGAGGTAGAGAACATTAGATTTAAAGGACAGTAAATATTCAGAATCAGAGGGTTGTTGTTTTATCTGAACTGCCTGAATTAAATCATTAAAGTTAAACGCTGTTTAATCCGCCACACGGTAACGAAAACTTTGATTATTTCGCCTTTAAACCGCGCTCCCGTCAGGGGGTCATTCTGTCAGGGGTGCAGTTTCCGTCAGAACACCGGTGTTGTCTCCCACCCTGCCCTCCTCCCTCGTGTGTCTCACACATGAAAAGTTTTCAGCGGAGTCCAGAGGGCGGGAAAAGTGCTCTTCCTGGTTCTGACCGTCTTTAAACGGACTCAGCTGCTCCTCGTCTCTCACTAAAGGACATTTTTAACATTAACAAGAATAAATCTGAAGTACTTACTACTCCTTGATGAGGACCATGTCGCTCCTCTCTCGGTTCGGGTCTGTCTCCTCTCCTGGATCTGCCCAGCGACCGAGCACGGCTCTGACGTCATTAGGTGCGCGAGGCAGTGTGTGGCCCCGCCCCCGAGAGAGCTGATTGGCTGTCAGATGAGTTAACGGAACTACTACTGAGTATGAACCAATCAGGTCTCTTGTTGGGGTCTTGGACCCGCCTGTCCACATCAGGTCTCATAAACCAGAATTATTTAAACTCCTCCGTTTGTAGAACCGAGTCCCTGATCCTGGTCCGAGACTAAAGACCGGGGACTCTTTAAACATGTGGGTCTAACTGAGACCGGACTGATGGGGTTCGGGTCTGAGGTCTCCGGTCTGAACCTCATTTCCTCAGTCTAATAATGACGTGTCCTTACACCTGCAGAACCGAGTCCATTCATGAACACATGAACATATGAACATATGAACATATAAACATATGAACACATGAACACATGAACATATAAACATATGAACACATGAACATATAAACATATGAACATATAAACATATGAACACATGAACATATGAACATATGAACATATTAACATATGAACACATGAACATATAAACATATGAACACATGAACATATAAACATATGAACACATGAACATATGAACACATGAACATATGAACATATAAACATATGAACACATGAACATATGAACATCTGAACACATGAACATATAAACATATGAACACATGAACACATGAACATATGAACATATGAACACATGAACACATGAACATATGAACACATGAACACATGAACATATGAACACATGAACATATAAACATATGAACACATGAACATATGAACACATGACGGTTAATGGTACAGAGGTGACAGAACATAAATACAATCAGACTTTACAACTCCTCTGTAAACAATAAATGACTTTTAAATACATGACAACTCAGACTACGGACAATTAAATTGACCTTAATACAAATAAAAATAATCTCTCTTTAAGTTAGTCTTACAAAAACTCCTGATAACAGGTTCAATCAGGCAGAATAAGTTCAACTTACATTCGAAACTTTAAACATCTTTTTTAGAGTATCAAACCTAATATTTATATATAAAGATAGATAGATAAATAGAAAGTTATAGAGTTCAGTTCATATATATATATATATATATATATACACACACACATACATACATACATACATGCATATGTATATATATATATATATAAGAACCAACCTAAGATGCGATTTGGCCCATCTCATCTAACATGAGTGACAGTGGCGAGGAAAAACAACTTCCTTTTAACAGGCAGAAACCTTGAGCAGGACCAGACTGATGTTAGACAGCCACCATGCCACTGCTGGGATGGGGAGGAATACAGAGAGAGATAGTGGGAGAGAGAGCAAGAGAACAAGATAGAGGGAAGGAGAGAGAGAATGAGTAAGGGAGAGGGAGGGAGAGAGAGAGAGAGAGAGAGAGAGAGAGAGAGAGAGAGAGAGGGGACAGCAGCAACATTAAAACAGCAACAACAGCTCATGTAATGGTGAAACAAAATGAATTCAGTTTACAGCGTTAGGATATGAGTAATTATGGACGATGTTAAATTAATGTGATTACAGTCAGCAGGCCTGATCATAGTTAACTCTAGTTTGATGTTATTAATGTCAGTGAGGCTGATGTTCATGTCTGCAGTTAACGGTCCAGAGGAACCCAAGAGAACCCCAAGATATATACACACACACACACTCACTGACACACACACACTTGACAAGTCACATACTTGAAGGGTATTTAAGGGTCATCTTGTTAAGGGCCTACAATTACAGTGAATCCTTTTCTACAGTTTTTACTCGCATGACTCTCACAGCACAGTTTCAGACCCACAGGGAGAGAATCTAACCCTTTAATGCCTGAAACCACAAATTATGGTCACAAAATTCAATTTCTTCTGGAGCTGAAATATTTATTTCTTTTACTTCTGAAAACCAAACAAATCAAAATGTCCTTAAAATTTAACAAATATATTGATCTCGTTTGATTCATTAGATGTTTTTGTAAACTGACAAACTACAAGAGGACATTTTTATCAATTATCAGACTGTATTCAGGTGTTTTTTTAGTGATTTGTTGATCATATTAATTTGATAGAAGTTTATAAAAGTATGTAAAAAAATTAAAAAGGCTCTGTTATTATTTCATGTACCAAACAAGCATCCAGGTGATATCTCAGGTATCACACCTGCTCCATCTCCTCTGGAAGAGCATGAGGAGTTCAGTATTAGAAGGTTTTATTTACTGGAAGAGCAGCAGAGGGCACTTCTCCGCCTCTAGAGATCACAGTTTTACTCATCTATTCACTGGACGGACATCCAGAGGACACTTTGTCCTGTTAGTCCTTTAAAGGTGAAGTTATTAGGACAATTTCTCTGTAATTTCTGTGGACAGGACAGCAGAAAGGTGATGTTATGATGGTTTATTTACTTCAGGAGCGTCCAGGAGAGCTCTGTCTCAGACATGAGGGAACCATGAGGGGGTGTGAGTGTCTGTGAGAGTCGTGGAGAAATGAAATGATCTTCTCTCTATTAAAAACTGTGTGTGTTTGTCATGTCCACTGTGATCTTCCTCTCTAACAGCCTCCTGTCTGCAGACCCACCTCAGTCTAAATTCAGTGTAAAGTTTAGGAAGGCAAGAAAGCAAAGAGGAAGTTTTTATTGAAACAGTTTACTGATAAATGACAGATGGTTGTCATGAAAGTTTCATGTTTAATCTCAAAAATCATGGGCTAAAAAGTCATACATGGTACTTAACATTGAATAGCAAGAGAATCCATGCTTCAGAGCAGACACTCAGTTCACAAAGAAAGCGGGCCAAATGCCCGTTTGATTTCGATAAAAAATATTAAATCTTTTTTCCACTCCATCCATCTTTACAGGGTACAGGTTTGCTCACTTTAATAATATAAAAAACGCTTAATACTGATTGTGAAACACTGGAATTAATTTACAAAACATAATAATAATAATTATAATATTAATAACAATAACAAACAATAATAACAATAACCATTAGATTTCAAAACAAAGAAACTGAATGGAGGGAATCACTCGGAGCTGTCGTATCGTGGCGCGTACAAACAGCGGCGATCTGGAGGGGCGTTAACATCTACCTGACACACACGTACACACAAACACAGTATCAGGTCGTTGAGGACTTTCTCATTACCATTTACAGTGTTATGGGCAGAGACCCAGACCAGAACCTCTCCAAAGCCTTCACAGGCCTCTGCAGGATGGCGCTCCCCGACCCACCAAGTCCCCGCCGGTCCAGAAGCTCAAAGCGCCCGACTCCTCCAGCAGACAGGATCTCAAATCAAAGATAAGGAAGTTCAGACCTCAGCATTTCGAGGACGGGAAAAATCTCCCCGGCGACAGGAACTTGTATCCGTTGCCGGCAGGTAGTCGGATGGAGCGAGCGCCGGGGCTGCTGCTGGTGGAGATGGTGGGTGATGGAGCCACTTTTCTGGGGTTGGAGCAGTGGTGTCCATTGGAGGAGTTTTTGCTGCCCCTGTCCACAGACTGCAGCCCCAGCTCCCGCAGCTCCAGGCTGTCTTGGGCGTCGCTGGGAGAACAACGGCGAGGGGAGAGGTTCAGCAGGCTCAGGACGTCCCTGCCGGCAGAGGCCAGGGGTCCGGGAGCGCTGTGGACGGCTTTGACGGGACCGAGGTGTTGCTGCTGCTGAGCGGCGGCGTTGGCCCAGAAGGTCTTCAGGTTGTGGATAGCTTGGACTTTCTCATCGATGACCCCTCTCCTGAGCCGGTCCAGGTCTGAGGCCTCGGCGGATGTGGAGCAGGCTGAGCCGGTGGAGGAGTAGGACAGAGCCGGGGAGGGAGCGCTGCCGGCAGGAGACTGGTGACCGGAGCTGGGGGACACGTTACTGGGGGAGCGGGAGATGTGGCCGCTGTACGGCGAGCTGGGGTACTTGAGTTTGAACTGGGCGTGACTGTCCAGGGTGGGCGAAGGATGGCTACCCTCCTTCTGGGAAGACTCGGAGACCGCGGGACTGTTGTAGCCGGAGCTGATCTTCTGCAGGGAGGAGGACCGGGAGGGGGGTTTGGGTCTCGGGGAAGACTGAGCGCGCCCGCTGGCGCTGCTGTTGGGGCGGCTGAAGGCGCTGGTTTCGGAGGAGCGGAAGGCGCTGCTCCGGGCTGAGGTTCCTCCAGCTGTCCCGCCCTCTGCCCCGGCTCGCTGAAGACTCCCCACGGCCCGGAGGTGGCTCTGAGTCTCCTCCAGGATCTTCTGGGCCAGCTCCTGAGGGTCAAGAGGGACAGTTTTTTCTTCCTGAGACTTGACAGTGCTGTCCGTCTCGGTGCTGGACTGATCCGACTCCCCCGTGTCCGAGCTGCTCACCTTACCCACCTTCTGGAAGGGCGAGTTCGGACTGGGTACCAGGCTGGTTTTGACCGGGGACGTCGGTGTGCTGACGCTGCCTCTTGAAGACACTGAGACCGAGTACCCTCTCCCCGCTCCAGAACCAGACCCACCCACCACGCCCCTCCCTCCTCGGTGGTGGCGCTGACTGTGGCCCGGCGGCAGAGGCAGAGAGTCACAGTGACTTCCCAGCGGCTCGCTGCTGATGATGGAGAAACCTTCGTACTCCTCCTCGTCTCCTCGAGCTCCTGCTACTGCTGCCGCCGCCCCGTGAGGGGAGGAGCGACTGCGGGGGACGTGGGGGTGTTTGTGGGCGGAGTAGTGTGCGGCGGCCCCGCTGCGCTGCCGATGGTTGAGGAAGTCACAATCAGACTTGGAAGCGAAGCTCATGGAGGAAGCTACGGAGCTGAGGCTGTACACGGAGATGGCGTCCGATGCCTGATTGTCCAGGCAGGGCGGGGAGAAGGGGAGGCTGGAGTAACCCAGGGGGAGGGGGTTCGACACGGACTGAGCCGAGGCCAGAGACTCCAGGGAGGACGAGCTGTCCAGGCTCAGACGCTTAGGCAGTTCAGTGGAGTCTGAG